CAAGGTCGTGAGTTCGGTTCCTGGTACCAGAGAAAACCCAAAAAAACAAAAAATAAATAAATAAATAATAAAAATAAATAAATAAAATAAAATATTTGTTCTTTCTTTCCTCCCCACAGCCAGAGGACTATTTCCTAGACAGGATTCAGAAAGCCTTGCTTTCCTCATCAGAACGCTCTCACATCTTTGATCTACACCACAGATCCTTTCCAACTCCCTAAGGAGCTAGAAAACGCAAAACTTCAAACTTTTGAAACTCAGAAGAACATGCATTCCTCTGCTTCCTGATCACACCCTTTTTGAGGCAACAAAGATTAAAGGACCTCACAGTTCAAGCACAGGATAAAAAGGTGGAAGAAACAAAATAAATGGAAAAGCTGCTGTTAATTTCAGCTCTATGTCCTTTGCGTAGAATAAAAGTTACATGAGGCTACGGTCACATCTGTCTTGCGTGGCATCTCTAGTACTTAACAAAGTGCCTAGTACTTAATGTTTAAGTGGATAAAAGAGAACAAAGAGATGTGTGTTTAATATTCATAAAACAATCATGCAGACACAGTGGTAGTACACGTAGATAACTGTGGTTAAAACACTTTGGGTATTTCATTTTTAAAGTTAAGTTCCACAGGTAAATTCTGTCCAATGTTTTTTGCGTCTTGAAAGTTATATGCAATGGACTTTAAGTTGTTTTAATGTTGGTTTAGCGCTTTCTGTATGTATATCATAAAAATATCAAGTGTGTTGACCCTTCAGAAAGTTGCATTTCACTTAGCAGAGAAAATAAAATGTCCCATTTCTGCCTAGGGAAAAAAAACAACATTTTCTAATTGTGCAAACATTCTATGAGTGTCATTTGACTCCATATTTTGACAGCCGCTTTGCATTTATTATTGGAGAGAATCTTCATACAGTATGTTTTTGTTTTTTTTTCCTAGTCAAGAGGTATTAACATTATTTTGGGTTATTTGGACCTAACAAAGTCTCCCAAAACAAACCCCTCTTTAAGGAAAAATAAAAGCCTTTTAAAAAAGAAAAGAGGGCTGGGGATTTAGCTCAGCGGCAAAGCGCCTGCCTGGCAAGCGCAAGGTCGTGAGTTCGGTTCCCGGTACCGGAGAAAAACCAAAACCAAAAAAAAAAAAAGAAAAAAAGAAAAAAGAAAAGAAAGGAAAATATTTGAGATTATCAGCTCCTAACGTTACAATTCCCATTGTGTCTGGCATTGAGGAGGCACTCAGGAAATGTTTGCTGAGCTGAATTTTCTTGGGATGAATGAAGACAACCTCTTTATACAGGTGGAGAAACTAAAGCCCCCCCAAAACCTGCAGGTGCATTTGTATTGTGCTTAGTATTTTGCTGAGGGCTCTCATCCAAGCTAGCTCATTTCAGAATTAGTTCCCACCAGCATTACAGGTGGAGCAGCAGAAGGTGGGAGTAAGGACGTGTTTGATACATAGTCATGAAGTCACTTCTAGAATGTTCCACATACAGTGAGTCAAAGGAAATCTGCTAAAGGAAATCTAAAACCTAATGATGAAAACCTGCAGGTATTTGGACAATGATGGAAAGGTTATTCTTTTCAGGACAAAACAAATAGGAATCTTTTGACCAAAAAAAAGTTGTACTGTATAGAGAAAAAAACTGTCAGATACTATTGGTGGTATAAATTGGTCCTATGTTTGTGGAGAAGAATTTATGACTATCCACCAAAATTTAAATGAACATCTTCGACTGTGCTTTGACCATCCTTTGACCTAGTGATGAACTGATATGAATTTATTCACATTTATCCACATTGGCACTAGAGTACAGGGATATATAAAAAATGGACTTGATAGATATACAATGTTAACTGCAACATTATCAGTTACAGATGAGAACTTAAAACAGCATAAGTGTTCATCAATAAACTGATGACTACACAAATTATGAGTTATCTGGGTAATGATAGTTTATGCAGACAGTCAAAACATGACATCAGCATGATATAAAAGGTGATCACGATACACTAAGTCAAAGGCAAGCTGCTTTCCTTTTAGTAAAAATATTCATCAAAGTTTTGACGGCAACCTCTGGAAACTTGGATATACTATTTATATCACTCCTTTACATAGTACTTGATTTTAAATGAAAATAGATTTCAAAATTTAAAAAATATCTGTCTGATTCTGGGTACTTAAGAGGTCTAAGTCAACAGTTAACGATAGCCAGGAATTGGTTAACTGTTGCCCTACTTTGCAAGAGTGCCTGGTGAGTCCACACCATATTGTTGGTGCTCAGGGAGTATTCTGCAGGAAGGCATGAGTGAGGACAGCTCGTCCTGGTCACTCCAGGAAAGGGAGGTGGAGGCAAATGACGATGTTTTCATCTTCTGCCTGACACTGGTGTCAGTGGATCAACGGAGGAGAGCTTATGATGACTTCTTCACAGGGTTAATTTATGTTACAGAAAGACTGGCTATGTAAATGTCAGCTCACCAAAAAATAATTTGGGGCTCCTATTAGCTTTGGCAAACGATGCTTACTGAGCCCTTGCTGTAAGATTATTTCAGCATTTGTCTCTTCAAGCACTTAGCTGTTGATTTTGAGGTCACAGGCACATAAAGAAGAGGGTCTTACAGAGAGCGCCCAGCTGGCCCAGCTGATTCAGATCGCACGTCATCAGCAACACTCAGGCAAAGAGTTCAGATGGACTGAAATCTGTTGGGATGGTGCCTCCATTTTCTGCCGGGGAATTCTTTTCTGATGAGTTCTAGCTACTAGGAAGCTCCTTATGGCACTATATTGGAATCTGCCACCTTACAGAGCTGACCAAATCTAAGTAGCTCTGCTCAGTGGGTTAAAGAAAGGGCCCTGGAATCAAAGGCTTGAGGCCCATTTTCTACACCTACGTGTGACTATTGTGCAAAGACCATTGTGTCTCTCTAAACCTAAGCTGTTTCTTTACAATAAGGGGACAATTACAGTTTCAGCCATGTACAGTGGGTTTAAGAAGATAATGAAATAACTTACTGCTTTATCATGATGTATGGCAAAAATGCTCAATAAATATCATTATGGCTGTCATAGGACTTTTCTTGTAAGTATTTCACAGAAACAGGGAGGGCAGAGGTAAAGGGAGCAGTGTTCATGGACTGCACGCCTCAGGGCTTTGAGCTCAGTGACCTGAGCATGTGCTGTTTCCTCAAGAGAAGCAAAGTAGGAAACACTCCAGGTAAGTGGATGGAATTTCACTAATTTGGAAACAACAGAAAGGCTGCACTTCCACAATGACAGTGTGAACTTACAAAAATAACTCCTCGTGTTGAAGAGTCATTACCTCTGGGGGCTGTCACACAACAGCTCCCTGGGGGCTGCTCTCAAAACTGGTCTCCCTGAAACTTTCTAATATGCAACCAGGCCTCAGGAGGAGCACAGGTCTTCTGCAGCCATTCTGTGACTTTTCTTAGTGCTGGTGATTTGACTTCATAATGTTCCTCAAGATAGACATCATACATCCTGAGTGTATTTGGAGGTATGACTGAATACAGTGTCTACAGGTACCCGCCAAGTATATCTTATTGCCACAGGAAATTCAGTAAGTACAAGACTTGGGATCTAGGTCTGGTTAAGCTTGTCCCAGCCAATAACTCACTGATGAACTCTCAGGCTCTTGGCTTACTCATCTCTACAGGGGTTAACAGTGATGGCTCTCATACTATGTTCTTAGGGGCGCTGGGTCTGCACAGCAGTGCTGGGAAGATGCTTTACCTGGGCTTCTGTCCTCTGTTGTACTACTAGCAGAACAGCAATATTTTAAAAAATACCCCTCTTTTCATCACCACCCTTCTCCTAGGTAAGGCATCCTCTCCTCTAGGGAAATACGAACTTCCAGAAGAAAGCTACAGGAACAACATCACAAAACAGTGCCCTACCTGGCAAGTGCTGGGTACGGAAAGCGGAGAGGGTTATAGGAGGAGAATAATGGGGTTATGCAGGGCTCTGGTTGACCGCAGAGGTGACTTCGAGGTCTCTGTGGAATGCACAGCTGTGGAGCCAGCTGCATCAACAGAATCATGGGGCCCTGCGTGTTGGGCTGCGGGCTCCCTCTGGGGGGACAGCAGGGTGCAGGGGGAAGAGACGGGGTACGGAGAAGGCAGGTGTGGATCTCAGTTCTGACACAGGATGCTTTAATTCTTTGAATTGTTATTTCCTTCACTGAAAAAACAATAAAAATATCTACTAGATGAGCCTAATAAGCACGTCATGTGGTTTAAATAAGATAAGGTCTGAAAAGCATTTTGTAAATTAGAAAATCTCATAAAGATGTAAATTGTATTCAGTAACCCATGAGATAGATGTCTAAATATAATCCTTAAACCCTAAAAAGCTTGCTAAGATCACTTTCCTAAGACATATATATAAAAGGGTAGTGAATTTTCAAGTAAATGAAGTGTTTTACTATGTTCATATGTTTCAATAGAAATCTCAGTTATAAAAACCATCATATCTGATATAAAATAATAAAGCAGCTATCACATTACAAATACCTAAGTGTATATAAAAAGTGTACACATTATAAAAGCCATATGTAGTTTCAAAAAATATGACTAAATTATTCTTGAAGAGCTACTGTAACGACAACTAACCTTTTAATTGTATACAGTAATATAAAAAAGTCCTACAAAAGCATGCTTGATCCAGTCTCCATTTTACTCTCCAACAAGTGGTGCACGCCTCCCTCCTGCTCACGACAGCTGTGTCTCAGGGCTGATGTCCTGCGTCTCTGCTTCCAGTAGAAAACCATCAACTCTTCTGGTCAGAAAGCTCTTTAGGGCAGTCATCGTCATTGTCCTCTGAGCAAGACAGGTTCAGGACACTCATCACGGGGTGCATCCAGGATGTTGTCTGTGTTACATGACTGGAAAAGAACAGAGAATGCCAGTTACAACCTGAAAGACTGTCTTTCCACTGTCCATGCCAGTGCCAATCCTGGTGACACAGACTCCACCCTGCTGTGGTTAGAACAGGAGCTAGCAGTGTTAGTAAGTCTTAGATACATTTTAGGGCTCAAAGAAATCCATTCTCTCTCCGCTGGTAACAGGAATGCAGGTGACTGTATTATCCTTAATTCTTCTTTTTTCCTCATCTGATATTCTTTTTCTTATTTTAAAGAGAATAAAAAAAACAATAACAAAATAACAACAACATAGACAAAAAGAAAACAAAGCAGAAACAATAAAGACACAGGGTTTCAAAACAGAATGATAGGAATTAACAGTGGTGGTTATATTACATGTTGTCATCTTCAACAAAGTTGCTCAGATTACCAGATGTAAGGATGCAAGATTGATCACACCATTAAAGAGAATAAAAATGATAAAAACACACTAGAAATGATACAGAGTTTCACTAGACAAGATGGTAGGAATTCACCAATAGTTGTTATATTACATATTGTTGTCTTCAAATTACTTGTTCAGATTACCAGATATAAGCATGCAAAATTGGTAAAAAAATTAAGCATTAACTGTTCCTTTCAATAAACCATTACACATCAGCAGTACAATTATCCCAGCTATCCATATACATATACATATGGATATATGTCCTTCTTTCTCTCCTTATCTCCTTCCCCTCATTCCTCACCTGATACTGTCAGTCACCAAGTCCTGTAATTGTTGAGGTGTAACCCTCTTCTCCTTTTCCAAGGCAATACCTGAGTCACTGGAGTACTCCCTACCTCAGTTCTATACCTTTTCTAATTAATTATTAATTCTAGCTTAGAGATCTTCCTAAGTGACAAATCACATGCTGTCACCTGTTAAAAGTTCCATTCCAACTGCGACTTCTGGGTCAGATACATACTCTATAGTATAAAACATTCTTGTTTTTAAAATTTGCTTCAACCATGCATTCTTCTCTGGCACAATCCTTCTTCCTGAGGAGTTAATTTATTATAATTCAAAAGAACCAGATCTCCATCAAGATCCGTCCAATCTGTGCCCATGATCCTGTCTCTAAGTATTGTATATTATTTATGCCTGTTTATTTTTAGGAATTTTCTTACTATACATGAAGGTCCTCCAAGCCAGGAACTACGTTTCTTGTCTCTGAGTTTATGATGCCTGACATGTTCTCAGAATGAATGATTAGAATCCTGAAAAGCATTTGAAAAACACAGCCAGAAACAAGGAGGAGGTGCAAAAGATACTGTGCATGGTTAGGGGGTAATAAAACAACATCACACAACCATACTTCAGCCTGGTGGATGTTGTTTTTCAGAGCTTCTCTTGCTCTCAGACTCCACTTGGGTGAATTTTCTGTATTCACCACCATCTGCACAGCTCCCGAGAGTTGGGTCAACCGCTTCTGTACTCAGGATATAGATTTGTTTCTTCTCCTTCAAAATTCTTTCAGCTCTGGTTTACCCCACTGTGCTCTCTCACACTAGATCAGTTTCTCTATCCTCTGTCCTACAAATCTCAACCTCAGAAGCAGCACATCTTGAATCAACTGTACTCAACAGCTGGAACCAAAGAAGATCAAATGAGGTTGTGGAGCTGAAGATATCTTCTACAGTACAGAGCAACATTTTCCAAAGTGGGGTCCGAGCATTTTTAATAAATGCTATGTGAAGAACAGAAGTCCAACAGTCAAATAAACCACTAGGTTAAATACAGTCAAAGAGGGGTTTTGTATACTGTAGGATTTCCCAGAACCTTTACTATGCTAATGTGCTCTATAAATCTTCAAGAGAATGCAGTATTACTCAAAATAACATGCCTCTGTTAGTACACATGAGGCTAGCATTCCACATAACATAATTTGGAAGTTATCACAAAAATTTACTCACTTAAATTGGATGTGATGGCATACAGCTGTAATCCTAGCACTCTGGGAAGCTGAGGCAGGAGGAGCACACAGCAAGTTCAAGCTCAGCCTGGGCAATTTAGTGACTTAGTGAGACCCTGCACCAAAATATAAACTAAAAACAAGGGCTGGGGATATATCTCAGTGAGAAGGCTCTGAGTTCAATTCTCAGTACCAAAAGATTTTTTTAAAATGTACTCACTTTATTCGTATTGATGACCGTAACTGAAAAATGTCAGAATTAGTGAAAATGGACAGTTCCATTGTCATTACTGATTTGGTTTATTTTCAATTCTAAACTCTAAACTTTGTTTAGATCCCTCTAAACAAATCATTCTGCTCCTTTTTTTTAAAATAGTAAGATGCATCTTTCCACAGAGGGAGATTACCCACACCTAGTAAAGGAGCTCAAGTCCTTTAAGAACCAAGGTGCAGATGACAAGGCCCAGACATCCTCATAGTTTCAAAATCTCAGAACGTGCTTCTGTGGTACAAAGGATCATCATTCTCTTGACAACAGTCCATATTACTATCCTCTTTTTAAAAGGATTTAAAGGAATTTTTTTACTGTGAAGGGTAAACTTACTCAAGTATTTGAATCAACACAGGTTAATTTCATTTCAAGGCCTTCATGAAAAGCGGTTTTAAGAAATACTAAGGAGTGTAAATGTAAGAGGCCTGCAAGGTCTCTGCAAGGGAAATGATGATGCAGTGCCCCATGCAAAGTACACATGTGAAAGGAAAAGCTCGGTGAGACTGCTTGGCTGACTTTAAAATCTCAGTGCTCATATCTTTCATGTTTATCACACATGAGCAATATGTTGGTCCAAAGAAGAGACTGTAATTTCAATTATTTTAAATCCTCTCTCCCCTATTATGTTCCCTTACTGGGAAAGAGGAGAAGGAAGAAAAACAGGAACAATGATCAGGTACACGATTTTCTATTTGACATTTAACAAATGATATTTACCACTGAAAAATTCTAACAGCCCACATGTGGACAGTCCATTAAATCGATAATTTAAAACAACAAGAAGCAAAATGTGTAAGAAAAAATATAGCTATAGAATCTAAACAATAGGACAAGTAGAAAGTTATCCCTGCCAGATATTACTCCAAACACAGCCAGAACACCGTAAGAGTAATCTTATATTTGCTATGTATATTTCTATATGTCCTTTACATACACATACATGCACACGCACACACACATGCACACAGGTCTAAGCATCAAATGTGTAATTACACTAGACAAATGAAACTGATGCAACAGAGAGATTTTTTCTGTGGTTTAAGAACACATTTCACACTTGGGTCCTTAGTGAAAATATCCAGTATCATGGGGAAGAGCTACTGAACATCAGATAATGCATGTAAAGTGCTTGGCAAGTAGTAGCTATTCAATAAATGATCACAGCTGGTTTTACTGAGAAGTAGGGCTTTCTGATTATTTTAAGAAAAAACTGGCGTTCTGCCTATGATGTCGGAATGGGGTCAGTTGTGAGTGTACCATCCAGTTTTATGTCTTGGTGAACGCTATGGCTAAGGAGCTTTGACATCATCAGCATGTTGACACAATCCCAGATTTACTGACTTGAAGAACGTTCTAGTATTACAAATATTTCCTCTCTGATTTGTGTGCTTGGTAATTCTGCTGAGGAGGGAGAGTAAATCAGTCCTGTTGATTCTGTTTAATTAATAAAGATCCCATGGTTTCCAAAGGGAGATGTTGCTGTGTAGCATGAAAGCTTTAGAGGTCTGGAAAATAAATGAAGCTGACTATGAAACATGAAAATCATCCATCTGAACATGCAGTACCTCTGGCAAATGTTCCTGTGGAGACAGGGCCTTTGACCTGATTTGGAGAGAAATCAGCAGCAGTTCGGATGCATTTGAAAATCAGAAAAGCATAATACTATTTGCCCCTGACTGTCTGCCAAATCTGTTGTTGGAAAACAATACCATTTGATCTGGGGAGATGAGTGTACTGTGTGTTTTAAAAAATAATATTAGTAAATTGAAAGACATAGTTTGGAGCTTATGAAAAAACTTAAGAGAACATGCTTTCTTTTATTGGCAAAGAAATGTAAGTGAATTTTAAAAATCCCATTATAATTACTCTCCTTATGTTTCTTACCTCCTAGCTAGAGGAGCAAAATGCTTTCCTTCAAAAAAGAAAGCAAAATGCTTTCAAAATAAAAATTTAGGACAGTCTGTTAAGCAAAGAGTGGTTTAAAGACAAAAGTGCACTAGTTTTGCAGAAATTCCTTCTTATAACAGTCTAAGATGATGAAAGAGGTTCTTCTGTAAATCTTCCATTGTGGATAGTATTACTTATATATCATTGAGTTTAACAAAAGATGCATGTACTATTTTCTTATGCTTAAGATAAGGTTGGATGACAACAAGCCAAAGTTATTGACTTCCAATGTCAAATTTATTTTTTCCTGTCGGGGGAGCAGTTTTATGTATATAATATTAATATACATCAGGGAACAAAGATAAGTATCATGCTAATACCTTTGTTTCAGACACCGGTAACTTGAATGGCTGGATGACTTTACAACTGCTTTTAAGTAGAAATGAGAACAAAAGATTTCTACTTAAAAATACTCCCCATTTTTAAATTAACAAATTAGAAGGTAAAAAAAAAAAAAAACACAAGGTGAACCATGTCAATAAGATTATTTAAAAAGTTACCAAATTATGGTATACAGGCCTCATGTACTTGCCACAGCACTGGTTATGAGAACTCATACAGATGAGGGGTATAAGGTATCCATGTCAAAAACACATAAAGGAAAATTATAGGCGTTTTCTTACTACTGATATAGGAGTTTCCTCTTACATAATTTTAGAAATATGCCCCCTAAATCAAAATAATTAGTGAACTTTTTAAATATCACAGATCATTTTGAGTATTTTATAATGAGGTGTTGGAAATCCAATAAAGCTTTGATCAAATATTATCAGGATCTGCCGGG